AAACTTCTTGTTTTACTAATGTTCAGTTTTCAGTAAAATATAGAAAATTCTTTTTATCATTAAGTACCCAGAAAAGGATTTTCAAATTATATTTTGCACTTTATTTTTATGTATTTGTTTGATTTAAAATAAAAATAATACTGAGTGAATGATTCTGATACTCATTGTATATAATCGTTTTTAGGTAAAATATTTGTAAATGTCGAAATCTACAAGGTAGTATGTGAAACTAAACTAGTTCAAATAAGAATTAATTTCTATAGAAAGAAAAACATTGAAAATCAACATTTTTTGAAGAAAGTGCAAAGTTTCCTGAGAGAAAAAAAAATATATGTTATTATTTTTCATTCATTTGAAAGTCTATCAAATTATTGTCGATAAAATATTTCGATGATGTGTGAGAATGACGATGAATTAACATTAGGATAAGACCAAAGAAGGCTTTACGATTGATATAATTACTGTTTCTTTTATGTTCACTTTCTCTATTGTACTAATCCTTTTTGTTTTCTTGAATGTTCTATATCGATCTCCAATTAAATCAATAAATATCATAAATTTTAGAAGAATTTTTGTGTACAGTAAAACATTTTAACGTCAGTTTTTTTTCTGTGCGAGGATATGTTTTATTAACTAGTAATTACACTAAATATTGTCTCAGACAGTTTCATATTTATAGGAAATAACAACTATATCTGATAAGAGTTCGTTTTTGAAAACTAACATTAAAAAAGGAAGTAAGCTCATTGTTTTTATTGATATATGATATTTAACATTAACACGATAATCTACGTCAAAAAAAAAAGAACTGATTATTTACGAAAGAGAAAGAGAGAGTATGATAAATAGTTTTTCTATTATTTTAACAATTTTCTAGTTGAAATTGGAATGAAAAACTTCTAAGTGAGAAAAACGATATCTAATTACTGAAAATCTATAAATGAAAAACGTTTTTTGTCAATTTTAGATCGTAAAAGTATTAAACGTTCAACAAGATATCAACAATGAACAATAGCAACAGAATAGAAGTTGCTAATGATGTAATTTATTGAGAAAAAGAAAACTTATAAAATATAATATTTGTCTTTGTTGATTATTTTAGTCTGCAACAGCTACTTCGAATGCAAGCGAGCATTTTCGAAAAAGAAAATTAGTATGGAGCATATTTATTGTTATTCTTTTTATTGTTTCAATGATAACGGCTCCAATTATTGTTCTCTTAAGAACAAAGACAAGCAGTGAAAAAGCATCAACAACAGGTAGTCCAAATGAGACAATCATTTATTTTACGAACAACATTTTTTCTCTTACTTTTCTGCCTTATCTAGGTGAATGGACAATAACAGAAAACATGAATATCGAACGAGTACATCACACGGCGTCCACGTTAACAAATGAATGTGTATTAGTTACTGGTGGATGGGGCGGTAGTGCTGAATTGTATAATCCGTCAACAGGTACTTGGACAGCTACTGGAAACATGAATACTGCACGAGCAGCTCACACAGCATCCTCATTAGCAAACGAATATGTATTAGTTATTGGTGGAGTGAAGAATGATGTTGCTTTGAATAGTGCTGAATTATATAGTCCAGCAACAGATACTTGGGCAACTACAGGAAATGTGAATGTCGCACGAGCAGCTCACACAGCATCCATATTAGCAAATGAATATGTATTAGTTGCTGGTGGATGGGACGGTAGTGTTGCTTTGAATAGTGCTGAATTGTACAATCCATCAACAGGTACCTGGACAACTACAGGAAATATGAATACCGCACGATATTATCACACAGCAACCACATTAGCAAATGGATATGTATTAGTTACTGGTGGATTCAGCATCGGTGTTGGTATTCTTAATAGTGCTGAATTGTATAATCCATTAACAGGCACTTGGACAATTACAGGAAATATGAATACTGAACGATACTATCACACAGCATCCACATTAGCAAATGGATATGTATTAGTTGCTGGTGTATGGGACGGTAGTGCTGAATTCTATAATCCAACAACAGGTACTTGGACAATGACAGGAAGTATGAATGTCGCACGAGTAGGTCACACAGCATCTACATTAGCAAATGGATTAGTATTAGTTGCTGGTGGATACAACATCGATGTTGGTTATCTTGACAGTGCTGAATTGTATAACCCATCAACAGGTACTTGGATAACTACAGCAAACATGACTGCCCGACGAGAATTTCACACAGCATCTACATTGGCAAATGGATCAGTATTAGTTACTGGTGGACATAACAGATTTGGTATGCTCAATAGTGCTGAGCTTTATTAATCGACATAGATAGAATGACATTTTATTTTGTGAACTGAATCATAAGTTTTTTTTTTATATTTAATCTAACTATTTAATCATTCACATTGCTTAATAAATTATCATTCACCAAATAATATGTTTTTTTTGTTTAACTGAATGTAAATTTCCCTTCAAGAAAAGCGAGTATATATATATATAGATGTGAAGAGATTTTATCATTCCTTTTTATCAACTACAAGCATTTATATGAGAGAAAGTTCAAATGTGATGATAATATGAATAAGCGTCCATAAGTGAATATTGGCACTGAACAACTCAATCTTTTCTAACCATACTCTTTTTATCAAATAGTTTCATTGACTTCATTGTTGTATTTCAAAAAGCCAGTATATTTTATGAAATGGATGATGGTTATCACAAAGATATTTATTTCAGACTACTAAATGAATGCAAAAGAAAATAGAATTTATATCATTGAAAGTAAGAAGAGTCGAATGAGTTTTACTGAGATGAGTAAAAGTGTGTAACAGTATTCTGCTTACTCATGATGTACCTATACTTATACTTTCTTGATATTGTAGATGAAAAAGTAAAAAATTGTTCTAGTAAAGAGTAACTTTTGTTGGATTGTGGAGAACTAAATAATGGAGAAAAACGTAAAAAATAACGAAAAGAAATCTTGAGGGTATGGATGTGAGATAATAACAACATCTACACCCATCCTCAGGATATTAGTAGTATCACTTATTATTTTAATGAAAGTTCCATATGGAAGTTGAAGTCTGATTATCATAAAATAAACTAATCAATATTGATTGATGATATTCTATAAAGTAAAAAGTTATTGGTATGTGTTAATAAATGTTTTTTTTATAAAATTTTCTATTAACTGTGGATGATTTTTACATAAACATGATAACTTTTTTTTTTTCTTTTGATAAACATTCGTTAAATAACTGATGTATTACAAGCATATGTATATTCATGAATAAAAATATAAAACTCGGTTAAATACTTGTGTGAGTATAGTCTCAAGAGTTTTAGAAGAAAAATGAAAAGTAATAAAAAAAAGAAAACATAATTACTTTTATTATTTTAGTTGTTTGTTAAGCTGTTAAGAAAACTAAATGAATTACAATCAAAATTTATCTATTATCAAATGTTTGTAAATATTTATTTTTTTCAAATAAAATATTCTTATGCGTCTTTTTGATCTATTTCTATACATTGCTTCATTTTAGTATATTTGATTTAATTTTAAAAAATCTGTCTTCTAGATGATATTATCATATTTATAAAATTATCGTTGCAATCATTTCATAAAGTTTTGTGTAATAAATGGAATATAGGAAATATTTTTGATTCACGATCATCAGATCCATTAATTATTTGTCGTGAAATCTTATCAACTCGTCTTTATATTGTTCTTCTTATTATTTCTCTTATTACATTAACAACATATACTTCAATAAATTATCGAATTGAAAATAAAATTGTAATATTACCAAGTCAGTCTATTTATGAAAATCTTCAGAATAGATATGCTAATATTTTACAGTGTTCATGTACAAAAATCTCAATAGCCTATGGAAATTTTGTTAAAATAGTTCCATTATTTCTCAACAGTGGATCGATTTTATATTTCAAACAAATTCAACATCTATTTGGCCAATAGATGTACGAACAAGTTTGAGTGCAATGTGGCAATTAATACGAGCATTTTGTCAAAGTTCAATAAACATAATTACAGATGCATTTAATCAATTTGATAATTCTACATTAATTAATACAATGCTATTGACTGAAGAATTATTAGAAGCAAAAGTTCAAGCTGCTCTTTCTTTATTACGTCAAACGGCACCATCTACTTTAACACAAGCAAATCAATTAGTAACTAGATTATTAACAAATTATATTGCTGTAACACATTATTTTGGATTAACAAAATATAATCCTTTATTCGATATTGGTTATATGAATGTATCTCTTTATGCGGGAATATTTGAAAATAAATATATATTAAAAAATTCAATACAAATTTGTTCTTGCCAAAATAATGGTTCATGTCCTTCATTTGCAAATATTTGTTTATATAAAATTTTTGAAATTTTTGGAATTTATGATTTGAATAGAGTTAAAGCAAATGAAACATTATCTGGTATAATAATTGATTGTTAACCATATCAAATGACACTTTCATCATCATTAGAATGTTTTTATAATCAATCATGTTTAAATATTCTTTTATCATCTTATACAAATTCATTAAATATTTCAATTCTTAATCAATCTTTATCAAGTCGTTCTCTTTCAACAACAAAAATCGAATTACTTATCAATGAACTATTTCTTGAAGAAATGTTTAATCAAACAAATTATACAAAATATTATTCACCCTAATTTTATGTATTGAAAACCTAGTTATTTCAAAGAAACATCAACAAGTCAGACAAAAACCTCCAACTAAGCTTTACGTAAGAATAAAATAAAAATATTTAATAAATATAATTTTAGTTTGGCCAAAAGAATTTTTTATAAAAGTCAAAAATAAGATTCAAAGTTTTAATTTATACAGTAAATTTTTTTTCATGATCCAACACGTGTTTATCATGGTTTTTTGGCAACATGCAGGGGTAGCGCGACCGGGGAGTGTCGAGGGTGTAACACCCCCTCAATCTTTAGAAATTTTTATTTTTTGCTCAACAAAATCGGCAAATTTTCTTAATTTTCTGAACAAAGATCATGCTACACCCCCTAAAAAATCAAAAAAATTTCGCTACACCTCCCCAAAAATTCAAAAAATTTTCGTTACGCCCTCCCCCCCCCCCAATGTTGGCTGACTCGTGCCACCCCTGGCAACATGATTATATTTATTTTATTTTCATATTCATTAAATCGGATATTTAATGAAACTAATATAAATCCATTTAAACAAGAATATAAAGAATTAGAAGAAAAATATTCATCAACATTAATATGTCCATGTACTCAAATAGCTATATCTTGTACAGATTTAATAACAATCGAAGTAAAATATCATCAAATATGCACAAGTAATTTTATTCAAGCATGGTGGTATTAAAGTTTTCTTCCTAATAACACTTTTGATAATAAAAAACTTGATTTTTTTATCATTTGCTCCATCATATTTACATTGCGTTTACGTGCATGTCAGGAAAATGCAGTTGGAGTTGCGGCTCATTTGGAGATGACAACATTAAGTGTTGGTTAGCCTTGGTCATTGACATTATTCTTATGAATTAATCAACTTCTCTGTACTTTTTCAGATTTGATGAATTGGGCATTATCTTTGTCTTCTACATACACAAATCCACAGATTCTTGTCGAAAATACGCGTGAATCACGATTAGATCGGCAATATATAACAGGAGTAGCAACAAATAGTGGTATTGAACGGATTCAAGCCACATTTCCATATCGTGCCCCAGTGGCTAGTGTGACCATTGGACCACTACATAAACCTAGCTGCGGATCGCAATACGGTAATGGTGGAACTTTGCAATATTCTTCTGATAATAAAAATTGGACGACGGTTGGAACTATCACGTATGTTAACATGTAACAACAAAAGATCGAGGTTGATGATGTTACAGCTCAATACTGGCGATTATTTCATAATGGCTATGTACCAATAGTTTTATTTTTGAATAAACATGACCTTAGACTAATCTAAAAAGATTCCCCAGAGTCTGTATGACGATAAAGAAAGCATCCCATGTCATACAAACCGCTTTAAAACTGTCAGTTAACCGCAGTTTACCGTCCGCTTGAACGCCCATTTGACCGTTCCGGTTATCGCAGTTAACCGCGGTTAACCGCCGTTAACTGCATTCCACTGGCGATTTTCTTTATGCTCTTATTGATGTGTTAGGATCGAATGTAGTTTACAGTAAAAGTTTTAATTCAC